TCCAGTCACATAAATGAGTCAGAAGATACAATTTTTAAGACTCTTTTCTTGTTTCTGACATTTGTGAGCTCAGTGGACTAGGAGATTCATTTTTGTGTGTGTTTTCTGTTTCTGATTAGATAGACTGTGCTCTCAAAGCTTGGAATTGTCTTGTATTGGTAAGGTCATACAGCACTTAGAAAAACAGAAGAGTTTTTTACCTTGAGGGGCTTGGGTATGGAAAATTTAAGAAAATAATTGAGATTATAAAGATTTCAAAACTTCAAAAAAATAGTAATAACCCTCTCTGGTAGGATCTAGTAAAACTTTTCAGTACTGTTAGTAAGATTAGCTGGCACATCTACAGCAGGACTTGTAACTCTGTCTGAGATTTGAAACATTACTAAATATTGTTGATCTTCAAAGAGCTATTGCGAAGTGATGGTATTTTTAGAAACTGTGGGTTTTTTCATTAAATGCATTTTGACTTGGCAATAACTAATTATTTAAGTATTGCAAACTACTTGGAGACAGGCTTTTTTTAGCCTTTCTTGATTCACACCTACATATTGTGTTCTAATAGAAATCAAAACAGGAGATATGCTGTCTTTCATTCCAGATGCCGTGCTTGCCTATGCATAGAACTTTGCCTTGTGTTTTACAAAAAATTGTAATGTAACAAGTGAAAAACTATTTTGGTTTGTGTTAGTCCTATGTAAAAACTATGAAATGTTCACTTGTGCCATGTTGGTTTGATGTCTGTTGTTTACATTGATTTAACAAAACTATAACCCTCAATGAAACCTGTATTTGTGCATATTTGGGTGCATTCCCACCAAGTTTTCCCTTGTTTTTCCTGATCTGCGGGCTAGTCTCCTTGGGGCTGATCATACCCATTTACCACTGTGATTCCAGAGTAATGCCTTAAAATGTGTTGTGGCTCTTGAGTACCTTAGTTCTCAGTACATTTATGTGTTGAGTGTTGAACCAAGCTGTAGCTGTTTTCTCATCCTGCACTGAAGAGACAGCTTGGCTTTTTGCTGGGCTTCACAAAGCATTTTCAAGTGTGATGTGATTCAGCTGTACTGCAGCTGATCACTAGAACTGTGCTGTTATGTTTTCTTCCCAAACTGAGATTCAAACCAATAGGGACTCAATTCCTATGGAAATAGCTGTCATAAAGTCAATTCTGTAGCTCATTGTAGTCTGTAAATTGGGTAAAATAGATGGTGAAAAGCAGGATTTTTTCTGTTTGTTATCCCCTTGCTCTCACTGCCTAACTGCTGCTGTTGATTAAGTTTAATCCCAAAGCACATCAAAATTAAAAGGCTTTGCATTTTTATAAGTCTTCTGAAGAACAGCTTTTCCCCCTGGTTCTGTGGTGAACATAAGTTGCTATTCACAGTGGGGTAAATGCCTGAAGCAAGGGAAAAAATGGCTTGTAAATTGTAAATCTGACCACAGCGTTTATGACAGTTGTAGGCTGTTTTGGATATATGCTGAGAGAAAATGTTAAAAAAAACACTTTTGTCTTTACACAGTTGTACAATAATCTGTATAGACTATAGGAGGGGTTGAGTCTTTTGGGTATTAAGAGATTTGAAGGCTAAAAGTTAACTTACAAGATTATTCTTTTTAATTCTGAGTAAAGGTGAAATAGCTAGAAGGTGAATAGGAAAAAAACCACAACAAACCACCCTTAAATATGCTATCAGCTAGACAAAATAAATTCCCTAGGTGTGAAAGCCACAGCTGTACTGACCAGTAGACTTCTGTTCCCTCCAAAGCAGCTGGAACAGCAAATTTTGCTCTCTGATTTAGTATGACCATTCAAGGTGATTTTCAGGCATTTTCTTTTTGGAATTTGCAGTTAAACAGAGCACCACAAGTGGTCACCATGCTGTCACAGGTAAAGGAAATGTGTGAGAGATAATCACAAAAAACAACTTCGACCTATTCACAATCAAAGCTATGAAAATTGTTTCAATACTCTTCTGTTTGGAGAAGGAACATTTTAGAAAGCCAGTCTCATGTTTCAAGATGATTAACCTATATCGATTCCCTAAAAATAAAATCTAGTACTAACTGACTTGACTTCTTTTCTGCTATCTGTCTTTCAGTGATGAAGACTAAGGCCTTTCCTCACTTACTATTTTATCTTATATTTCACTTTTCTACTTTAATATTTTTACTTGGATGTTACCAGCTGATGTCTGTTACCTTCCTATTTCAGCACCTTTTGGTGATTTATTACAAGCATAGTAATAAAATAGTAAGTATTCAAACAACTGCACTCTTGTAGTAGAGATAGTTTGAGATATAAACTACATATGAACTTATTCCAATGCGAAGAAATAGATAGGAACATGATTTTTATTGGTCATGGTCTAATGCTTTTCACTAAGGCTGTTGAAATACTAGAGTCAGTAATCTCAATAATTTAAGCAGCTGCAAATGGTTGAGAAAATGTCCTTCCACATAGTTTTTATCTCTTTCTAATCCCAACGCATTCACACTCTCATACATGCACATGTGCACTGTGAGAGGGAGGGGTGCAATGAATGTTGCTGGCAATGTTGCTGTTAAAATTGCCAACAGCTCTTCTTGTCTTTTCACCAGTTAGGATGAACCCAGGGAGTAAATATTTTTTATGCTCTTATCCGGGTCACCTGAAATGTACTTTCATTCTATTTATTTTAATAAGAAAGAATAACAACACACAGAATGGTAAGAAAAGATGTTCGTTTATGCTCTATCTTTAAAAGTCCTAAAAATAATTTTAAAATAAATTATTTGGTCCCTTCTTGGTCTTTAGAGAGGCAAAGGTACCTATTTTGTTTATGCTGTAAAGAAAAAGGATAAGGAAGAATCTACTTGCAATCTATTTACTACATAACATCTTACAAAGAAGCTGACTCAGATACACACAGAGAAAGGGCTGAAAGCAGGAGGATGACAACTGAACCTTCTGTGATTTTATGAAATCTCTCAAAATAAAAATTGTGGCATTAAGGAATCACCTTGTACTGTGTTTTGACTTTCTCAAAATCCTTACTTTGTAACACAGACTTACAAAAAAGCTTTTGTGAGCTTTTTCCTGGTTGTGGAGAAGATAATAGGGTGCAGCATTTAAAGTTAGTGGTATGAAGACTGGGTCACATGTGGGAAAAGTCACTAATTATTCAAGTTCATCAGGAAGCTCCTGGAAGAAGGCAACTTTGGTGTTTTAAAATGGCAAGAAAGTCTCAAGGAAGTTTAGGGCCTTCAAAAATCTTGAAAAATTGCTTTAAAATGTTACTTTATAATAGTAACTGTCTCTAGGAATAATGATGTGAGGGCAGTAGAAGGCTACTGTGGAAATATATGTCCAGGCAACTTCTTTGTTATGAATTAATATTAACATGTGCTACATGGCTTGTAAAGATTTTTCATTTTCTCTTTTGCTGTAATTAAGAAAAAGGAAGAGGTTTTTAATTCCAAATGTATGTTTTTAGTATCTGGGCACCTGAAAATTTTCAGACTTTCCCATTTGTATTAGTTAGCTTCTAAAAAGTAAGTAGAAAGTATTACCACATAATATGGAGTCAGAATTTGGATGTATTAAAAATGGATCTCACTACACATTTGTAGTGAAATGAGCAGCTCAGGGAAAGAGGTGGATTTTTTTATTCCATCCTTTCTAGATTTCCCAGTTAATTGGTTGCCTTAATGGATGTTTTCACTTCCTCTGGTTTTTTTTCCCCATTTCTTCAAAACATATATTTGTGACTCCTCAGAGAAAGAATGCAAATGGTAAATCTAATCAGATACACAGTTTCATCCTAGTATTGGTCCAATCATAGTGTTACTTGAACATCCAGTGTCTGTGAGTATCTGTGTTTGTAACTAGAAAATTCATGGAGCTTCTGAGCAGTAAAATGTGATTAAATAATAGAGTAAATATATAATAATATCTGTTTTTTAAATATGTAAAAATATTGTGGGCACTGCACTAGTAAATTCAAACCTCAAGAAGATGAAGCTTTTCTGTCAGAAGTAAGATTGCCTTTTCTATGAATTCAGTTTTCACTCTAATTGCATCAGCAAATTGGGGTACAAGTGTCTTATACAAGTGAAGAGATCAGTCTTAATTCTGTTCCCCCCCCACCCCTTGTTTGAAAGGTTCAAATACTGGAGATAAGGGTTACTTAGGTGTTGACATCTTCCTATTGTTTACGTAATGTAGTAATGTGCATATCTTGCCTTGAAACAAATAGCAGGAGAACTTGAGAATAAATTACCTTGAAATTCAATTTAAACAAGTTCTGTTTTGTTGTAATACATACCTGTCTGGAACATAAATCAGTACAGTAGAGGACTTTACATATTTACAGTTGTTTCATCATATGCTTTCTCCTGGAACCTAAAATCGTATATGTACAGGCATAATGGTGTCAAAACAGCCACATATCTTTGCTCAAGCCTGTCCCAGAGATTCCATACCACACTTGCAAAAATGATTGAGGTACAGAGGGACAAGGGTGGGAAAAGCAGAAACCAATACAATACCTAAGAAGCATTTAGGCTTTGCTAACACATTTGCATCAGGGGAGGAGGAAGTCATCTCAGCGTTGTGACCTGTGGTGGAGTTTGCATATTTTTTAATGTTTCTTAAAAGAAAAGCAAAAAGTTCTGTTGGCAGGGTGCTGGTGTTCTCAAGGGTTCCTGCAGCTACTCAAGTGCTTTGTATCTGTATTTTCTGTGCTCTGTATCTGTATCATGGTTCAACGACATCCTTCTTGTGGGCCCAGCTGTACTTCACAGTCGGACTGTCTGAGTCCACCCTCTGTTTAAGAGAAAGATAAATTTATAAAAGGATATAACAGTAAGGAAATCAACCTCACAGTGAAAATAGTGCCATAATAAATCTATTTCTTAACAGCTGTCCATGCATGACTTGTGAATTTCTCTGGATATTTGTAGCTGTAAAGCCCAGTGAGGAAAAACATGACTCACCTATGCAATGTTATTTTGTTTTACAGGAAAAGGCTCAGTGCTTTCAGAAGGCTCTTGCTTCCCAAGCAGATAAATCCACGCAGACAGAACTTGTATGCCATGATGTAAGTAGCTGTATCAAACAGTATTTTTTTATCATCTTTGTGGGTGTTCAGACTTCTGTCAGCTGGTTTGCCTCTGCTGCTGTTGTGTCCATGCATTGATTTGGTGATACTAAAATATCTTCGGAAACATGAAGAGATAATTACTACTACCTGCCATCACACCAATACCCTGCTAATTTCAGACTTTACAAAGAGCTGAGGAATAGCACGAATCAATGTGGAGGGTATGTATTAGTGGATTGTAATTTTTTTTTTCAGTATTCATTTACACAGTTACTGACATTTTAATTAGGTTATTATGTTTATCATCATATGCTGTCCCAACAAGTTTTGAGTTTTGCAAGATAATGGAGTAAGTACAGTTTTGCCAAGTGATGTTAAAATTCTGTTTCCTGAAGAGCGTCTGCCAGAATTTCTCCTAGAATGTGAATTCATAGTATGTAACCTCATGCAAGAAGGTAGTCAAGAAAGATTCCTTAATTGTAGAAATATTTTTCTCCCAGTTTTTCTAACTACAAGTATTTTGTCTGTGGGATGTTACTTGAATATGTGCAAGAGATTCAGTTGTTTACATGAGCCCCTTGAATAATCTTTGATTAAGAATGCCACTATGTGGAATATTTTGCAGAGTTCTGTGCTGTGATTTTAGCAGTCTAACAGTAATTCTTACCAAAGACTGTTCTGCAAAATAAGGCTATGGTTGTGCATTGGTACATATCAACATGCCAATTCAAGTTTATGAAGAAGATGGTGGAATTAAAGCAGGTTTTGAAACCTTCCTTTTGTATGTTTTGTATCAGTGGAGCATTAGAGTTTTGTCTTCTGAGTCTTTGGATAGTTTTCTGAAAATAAAAACATAAAAATTTCGTGTTCTAATCTGAAAAGTTTTTGACCCAAAGTACACTTCAGTGGTTTTTTTCCCCGATTCTTTTAAGCTGATTAAAGCCAGGAGTACTAACATTTCTTTTTAAATGGAATACATTGAACAAAAACCTTGGTATAATTATTCTTCTTATGTGTGTTGCTAAACAATTATGGTTTGTTGGATTTTTTTTTTTCTTTTGAGTATTTTCTTATTTAGGGCAGATAAATCAGTACTTTACTCAGGGTCCCTATCTGCACTGATTTCGTGTTTTTGGTTATGCTCTACTGTGTCTGTGAAATAATGTCTGGTGTGTATATATTACTGGTGAAAATTACATAATATTCAAAAATAATTAAAAACGTTTTCATATGTTGCAATAATAATATATCCATTTCTTCTGTGACTAATTATCCTGAACATCTGCTTTCTCATATCTTTGATGGTAAAGTCTTCCATTAAAAATGTCAACAAGCAACATGTAAGGTTTTGGGGGGTGGGGGGTGTTTATTTGGTTTTGTTTTGCTTTGTTTTTTTAACAGGTATGACTTCTGCATTTGGTTGGTCTCTCCCAAATCAAATATGCAGTACTCATGCTGGAGAGATTCATTCTGTTAGCAGATTATATCTTTTTTCCCTTTTTCCCAGTCTGTGTTCCCTTGGAGTTTGACGGAGGAGGTGTTCTATCAGTAAAATAAAAAATAAAATTAGAACTCCCTCTCCCAAACAGGTACAGGCTTCTGGCTGGGATCTGAGTATTAAACATAATAATAACAACGATAAGTCAAATGAATCCTTTTCTTTAGCAGCATTTTCTTCAGTATTAGCAGAATGCATGTTTCAAACTTCCCTGGTTAAAATGTCTCTACCTTGTCATGGTTGCAATAATATATTGTTTTATATAGGGTGTTGCAAGAACAAAAGGAAATGTGGAATATTTTTCTATGGAACAACACCTCACCTCTGTTTATATCTGGTACAGAGTACTTGTGCAAATTCCATTTCAGGGAATTAATATACAGGAATAAGACAAGCCTGCTGCATCACCATGAAGGGAACTGGGTAAAGAAGGATGTGCAAATAAATAGAATAAACACTCTTTGTAATATTGTTAAAACTTTTTGCTCTTGTTTTTTGGATTACACAGCTTTTCTTCAGAGGATAGCGATTAATGATCAGTTCAACTGTGTTTCTGTGGAAACTAAGTGGCAATTACATTTGTAGTCTTTGCTTTTGTATGAGATTTTAAAGATAAAATTGTAACTGTGGCAAGTAGTATCTGTTCATCATTTGATTCAGGATGTCAGTAAATGTGTAGAACTACAAGAATATTGTGCTATTATGAAATTAGATTCAATAGAAAAACATAAAACAGATCAGAGAATACAAGATATATTTTTCACCCCATTAGTCACACATTCCAAGAAGAGTATACATTGAATACTTAAGATCTAGTTTAAGAGGTAAGCAGAAAATTTAAGTTCATTTCATCATTGTTACAGAGTTGCTGCTTTAATAATAAAAAAAAACCCCAAACAAAATATAAAACAACAAAACCCATCCAAACAAACAAACAAAAAATAACCCTAATGTTTTTTATTTTTCCTTAATTCAATTTTAGAAGTGAATAGTAGTTAGGAATTTGCAGGGCACTATTTCATAAATGTTGTACAAATGTTGATTTACGCTTCATAGTGTAATATATCAGAAATGCTTAAGATAGTGCCATTGTGAATGGCTTGTTTTATATTCTCTTATATTCTTTTGCTTCAGTGTATAGTCTTAAAAGTTGCCTATTTTGCAGTGCAAAAAACTGAGACAGTTTAGCCCCAAAGTAAAGTAATGCTTAGGTTTCTTTTTTACTTCTGTACAATGTCTCCAGTAGTTAAGAGACTGTTCTTTAGCCTTGGAATTCATTTAGATGTGTCATTAAAAGTAAATGGAAGTTCTGACTTTGACTTAGATGAGGAATTAATCCTTTTGTCCATAGGGTGTACAGTAATGAAATAAAGCTGGAGGCTAGTCTATATTTAGGAAGGAATGGGTGAAGAAAAGAAGAAATGAAGTGTTTCAAAGGGAAGACATGTTCTTGTTTCTGTGGAGCTACTCTGATGAAGCTTAAACAGTATTGAGTGAATGTTTGGGTGTTTGAGAGGTTACCAAAATGAAATTTAATATATCGTATTTTATTTTAGCAGCTATAACATAATTACTATCAGATTCTGGATATCAAGATGATCAGTAAAGTTTGGGTCATGCAATTTCTTACAGTACCTTTAAATTGCTGGATAATACTTCTGATAGATTCCTCTGGTTTTTTCCCATACAGCACACTGAGATTTTTCAGCTGAAATTGCTTTAGAGTACTGTATTAGTAAGCAAGTGGAAGATAAAGTCTGTAGCAGTAAAGATAATGTTACTCATAAAGAACTGTTTTAACTGGAAAGCACACTGTTTAATGTCTTTTCTGTATTAAAATGATCTAATAAGAAACTCAATTATGGAATTGAAACATAAGGTTTAAAATAATTTTTGATAAGGATGAAAGGGGTCTTCCATGATGAGAAGTGCTGCAGTGTCTTTAAGTGATTAACATGACCACTTACTTGAGTAAATTGAAAGTAAAATACCAACCCAACTACCATATGTATTCAATGGAAGACATTAGAAAGTAATAAGGGTTTCTTAGAAGGCTAGTTGCTTTATAATGCAAAATGTCAAGGGATCTTCATCTGGTGATAGTCCAAAATTTATTCTGTTTTCCAGTATGTGTATTGAGAATCATTTAAACGTGCTGGGACATAAAACAGAAAGAGCCATGTGCACAACAGATTGATGTTGAGGCTGCTAACTAATAAATTATTAATGTGTCTTCAATAATCAATGCTAATTTAACCTCCTTCACCTTCCTGTGCTTGCAAAGTCTTATTTTATTGAGAGATCAAGGCATAATTTCTTCCATGTCGATCAGGTGGCTAAAATGGACCAAAAGATGAATAGAGGCAGTCAGCTAGCATTGGGACTGATTACAGGATCATGTTAAGGGATACAGCTCTAATAATGGTTTCTAGCTAAATAGGTAGTCCAAAGTGTGATGCAGGCATCACACAAGCACGCTGCAGCATGTGCCACTGCTAATGCATTTTCATTAAAATGCGTCTCAAAAGTGACATTAAACAATCACAGTACAGTTCTTGTTTCTGTCACCAGAAGAAGTCCAACTTGGCACCACTTTGTCAGTCTTTATCAGTCTTCAGATGAAAAAACTTTGCATTTAGTTTTATTCTCCAGAAAGTAGAAATTCTGAGAAACTGACATGATTTCTGCAGTCTTTTCTGTGCTTGCCTTGTGCTTTTATTATGGGTTTCACACCTGAGAACTGCTATTCTCTTTGTTCTTTGTCTTTCATACTGAGAGTAAAGCTGGTGTAAACAGGTTTTGGACTGGTCCTTAACTCGTTCCCCATTTAATGAGAGGTTTTTCCAGTTTCATTGTCCTTACATTTTGTATCATGCTTCTAAAGTCTTAGACCACAGACTTGTGTGGCATTGCTTGCAGTCTGCTACAGTTTGATTTGCATTGCTACACACAAAAATTACCTTTCCTTGATCACCAGCGTTTATAACAGCGCTCTGTGATGTACATGAAGGCACTGACTTATCACCTGTACAATCATGCAGTATTAAAATCCATACTGATACATATTTTAGGGTAATTGTTTTGTAGCTTGCTGTGGATTGCCTTGGACATTGTGCCTCCCTTACTCTCTCAAAGCCTGGGTACTACTTTTTCCCGAACCTCTACATTTCACTAGGAGGGAGTGGAAGAGATGGAGGAGGGGATGCTCTAACTGTTCTACTCTACCTCCCTTCTGTGCTCCTTATCCTCCCTGGCAGCCAGCCAGCATAGCTTATGGATGCTGTGAAGGGACTGTGTTGCATTGTCCTCTACCATAGGAGGGCAGGGGAATAGAACACTTGAGCTTCTTGAACCGTTTAATCTAAATACTTTCCTGCCCACAGTATTGCATAGTTTGTTGTAGCTTGAAGTGAGTTGTATTTTGCTGCTTGAACCAGAAAATACACCCTGCTTGTGCTTCCCCTCCTCACCTTGGAGACTGCTGTCCATCTGCTATTGC